TATTTAGAAGATCCTGTGACTTTAAGGTGCTCAGCAGAAAGCTATGTGAGCTATTGGGGAATTCTCCTTCTGGATGTGAACCACAGAGTATCTGATTGCAATTGGCAAATATTTATTCATGTCCTCTATTCATCTGGTGTTTGGGACAGTCCTTGAGATTCTTTACTTTTTATTGAAGTACGCCGTTCATCAGAGTGCAGCTCATGAAAGTTCAGCTTGGTGAACTTTCACAAATTGAACACACCCTTGTATTAACACCCTCAAAGAGAAACATGGCAGGGGCAGCCCCCAGAAACTCCACCCCTGCACCCTTCCCACCTCACCCCACCAAAGGGTTCCACTGTCACTATCTAATCACCACTCTTGGGTGTCAGTGACAGAAACTCATCTCCCAGTGACTTAAGCTGAAACCGAATGCTTCCCCCAGCTGAGGGGTCCGTGGATAAACCTTGCACAACTGCATTGAAATGGTTAGATGATGCTGTCAGCTTGCCTGTGAACCTTCTCTGCTGAGTTCTCTTCTGTGTTGAGTTTATACCCAGGCAGTTTCCTCTTCCTTTGTGATGAAGAAATTCCAGGATTGCCTTTGAGCAGATGTCCCATTCCTAGGTCAGTAGTTCTATGTGGGCTGGGGTGGTAGGGTCAGTGTGTGGAATATGGAGGCGAGCCCGTCTTGGGCCACGTGACTGGATCAGCCTCATCTGAGCCACATGCACTTTTTAGTGGGTGAGGGTGGTTCCCCAGGAAAAAGCCTAGAGACGGTTGTCAGAAGGAAAACAGGTACTGAGTGGACAGAACCAAGCAAGTCCAGTATACCTGGGCAGTGCCGATTCTCACACTACTCACCGGAGAACAGATGTTCTCTTGCAAAAAAAACCACAAGCTCAAGCTCCTGGTTGCTCACAGGCAAGAGGGGAAGGAAAAAACATTACAGGGCAGAATGGGGCATGCCTGGACAGGCACAGAGGAGGCATCCGCAGGGAAGGCTGAGATGCCTGCCTGTGGGAGTCAGGGCTGGGCACTCACAGCATGGGGCAAGGGGGTTGGGAGAGCTGGAGTGGGGCTTTTTGATGAAAACTGATGACTCCCGGCCTTCTGAAGCCTGGGATGTGGGAGATGAGGTCGGAAAGCTGAAGGCTGCTGAATAGGAGAATGGTAGGATCCGATGTGTGGTATAGGCACCCCTGGGGGCAACTGTACAAGACGGACTGAAGGGAGGCCGGGTGGTGGCTTTGCCAGAATCCAGGAGAGAAGGATGCAGCCAGGACCAGCATGACCCTCCCACAGCTGGATGTCCAGGCCATCCACTGGGACGTCATCAGGTCCGTTGACCGTCACATAGACAGATGTGTCTTCAGTGTCCCCAACTCGATTGTGAGCTCCACCAGGATTAGGATCCTGAGCACTGGCTTTCCTGGATTGAATCTTCTGCAGATCTTATCTTTTCTCTACTTTCCAACTTTATTTGTCATTTATGTTTTTTGTTCTACTTTTCACATCTTTTAAATTTTTCCTTTCAACCTTTCTAATATCTAATGCAATTAGCCCCAAGGAAAACTAAGAGAAACAAGCAAAAACAAAAAAGGAAGTGTTACTCTTAGTCATTGATGTGCTTCAGCTGTGAGCTGGAGTGTTTTGCTGTGGTTTTAGGTTTTTGATATTTTTTTAGAGAAAGGAGGTCTCGCTCTGTTGCCCAGGCTGGTGAGCAGTAGAGCGATCATAACTTACTGCGACCTTGAACTCTGGGGCTCGAGGTCCTCCCACCTCGGCCTCCCAAAGTGCTGGGATTACAGGTGTGAGCCACCGTGCCTGGCCTCCAGGCATATGTGATCCTTTCTCAAGCGATGTGTAGTATTTTGACAAAAGTACATTTTAAAAAGAGTTAATATCAAAAAAACATTTCTGTGGCATAAGGACCCCTGCTTAGGGTGTTCCTGGGTACCAAAGCGAGAGACAGAGCTTTCTGTTCCCTTTCTGGCCTTTTGTGCTTTTTAGCTCCACCCTTCTCCTGAAAAACATGTGATTATTTTCTTCACCATTATCATCACCATCAGCACCATTAATGACTTGTTGGAAGTTTAAAGTAGAATTGTTTCTGAGGTTGGGGGGCTGGAGAGGGCATCAGAGACAGGAAATATTACTGTCTTCTGTCTCAAAAAAAGAAAGAAAAAAAGAAACATGAGCTGGCAATTAGCTCATCTGTACCTTTAGAATTTTTTTTTTTTTTTTTTGAGATGGAATCTTGCTCTGTTGCCCAGGCTGGAGTACAATGGCACCATCTCAGCTCCCTGCAACGTCCGCCTCCTGGCTTCAGGCAATTCTGCCTCAGCTTCCTGAGTAGCTGGGACTATAGGCACCTGCCACCACACCGGCTAATTTTTGTATTTTTAATAAGAGACCGGGTTTTGCCTTGTTGGCCAGGCTGGTCTGGATCTCCTGACCTCAAGTGATCTGCCCTCCTTGGCCTCCCAAAGTGCTGGGATTACATGCATGAGCCACTACACCCGGCTTAGAACTTTATACATCTTTGTGTTCCCTCTTCCAAAAATTAAACATATAATAAATATGTTCCCCCCATAAAGAGAAAACTTTAGAGGGGAAGGAGATAGGCCTTCCAGGATGGGAAAGTTCACTGGACAAAGGCTTAGGAGTGTCACACCCACCACAGAACCCTGCAGGGAGAGTCTGCTTCTTGGATTTATATATATATATATATATATATACACACACACACACACACACATATACATATATATAAAATTATTTTCATCATCATTATCACCATCATCACTATTAATGACTTGTTGGAGATTTAAATATATACATATATATATATATATATATATATATGTATATATATATATGGTTTTTTTTGTTTGGTTGGTTGGTTATTTTTTTGAGATGGAGTCTTGTTCTGTCACCCAGGCTGGAGTGCAGTGGCACAATCTCTGCTCACTGCAACCTCTGCCTCCAGATTCAAGCAATTCTCCTGTCTCAGCCTCCTGAGGAGCTGGGACTACGGGTGCCTACCACCACAACCAGCTAATTTTTATATTTTTAATAGAGACAGGGTTTTGCCATATTGGTCAGGCTGGTCTTGAACTCCTGACCTTAGGTGATCCACCTGCCTTAGCCTCCCAAAGTACTGGGATTACAGGCATGAGCCACCCTGTGCTCAGCCTATTTATTTATTATTTATTTATTTATTTTTGAGACAGGGTCTCACACTATTGCCTAGGCTGTAGTGCCATGGCACAATCTCTGCTCACTGCAGCCTCTGCCTCCCAGGCTCAAGCTATCCTCCACCTCAGCCTCCTGAGTACCTGGGACTACAGTTAGACACCACTGCACCGGGCTAATTTTTGTGTTTTTAGTAGAGATGGTGTTTGGCCATGATTCCCAGGCTGGTTTGGAGCTTCTGGGCTCAAGTAATTTACCTGCCTAAGCCTCCCAAAGTGCTGTGATAACAGGTATGAACTACTGCACCCAGCTGGCTCTTGGATTTAAGCCCCTGCCCTGTCTCTTTCTCACTGGGTATTCACATATCTGAGCCCCACTGCTTCAATTAAAACGGACAGGGATGGTCATTGCTGCCTCCTAGGGACTTGGGATGATAGCATTTAATCATGAAGACAAGAGTACCTCTCACAGGCCCTTCCTGACTGGTTCTTCCTAATGTTAAACCCTTGGCCCAGATGGCCACTGTGCTGAACGTAAGGCTTCTATCAGAAAGCTCCCAGCTAGGAACTGGTCTTCTGGAGACTCTGTGGCATAGGATGATTCAACCACTTTCCTAGTTCTTGAGTTTCAATAGTAGGATATTGCAGCAGTTCCTATAGTGTATGAGTCACTTAAGAAGACCTCAAGCTTTCCTGGAACACAGGTAACAAACACCTTGGCTTGAGGTCAAGATCCTACCCAGGCAAGGGCTGGGCTGGCCAGGGCAACCGTGTTTGGCCCAGAGTAGCAGGGTCCTGCACTCTGCAGGGAGCAATCACAGGTGTGAGAGGCCCACAGCCTGGGATCAGTGGTGCCAGGAGCTTAGGAACAGGAGCCCTGGAGTCCCAGCTTTCCCACTGTCTCTGCAAACCTTGGGTCCTTCCCCTGAAAAATGACATCATCATGCCCACCTCAGGGTTCATTGAGTAAATCATCCAGTGGACTTGAAGCACCTAGCACTTGTGATCATCAAAGTTAGCAAACATGAGTTCCCTTCTCCTCTGGTGCCCCATTGGCACTAGAGGAGCATTGATCATGAGCAGAGCAGATGAGTGGCTACTCTCCTCATCTTCCAGGTTTTCCCAGAATGGGCATGGGATCTGGAGTTCGCTGGTGACAGAGCTTTTGGGCATCTTCCATCCACCCTTGTTGCTTCCTGATGAGGGGAAGGAGCTGAGGTGGGATCTGCTCTGAAGTTAGACCCTGGCTTCTCTCAGTGGTGACCTGGACAGGAAGGAGAGGGAGCAAAGGATGCAGGAGCAAGGAGGAAACTTCCAGGCCCCTCCCTTCCAGAGTCCCCCAGCCTTGAGATCATTGCAGAAGCAACAGCTGCAAAGAGCAGAGCACTTTGGGACCTTGGAATGCGGGAGGCGGCTCTGTGTTCCTTCCACCCTGTGAGACATGCGTGACATTCTTAAGGTCCACTAAAAGGCTGGTGGTTGGAGGCCAGAGGATGGCCTGGGAGTTACTGAAATTGGAAATGGAGGTCGTCTGTGGGTGTCTCCTCTTGGGGGAGACTCCCCAGGGGGAGGAGTTCCTCCTCTCTAGATGTAGCTGAGCACAGGGACAGTAACAGTGATGGATGCATGTGTGTAAGAAATGCTTCCCCAGGCCCTCTCTTCATAGATGTTTGCAGGAGCATCTCTCACAACAGCTCTGAGAGGTTAAATGTTGCAAATCCCATTCTACAGAGATGGAAATCGAGCCTCAGGGAAGTTACATCGCATTTAGGGGTATCTTCCCCTGTAGAGTGTGACTCCGTCTCCCTCCTGCTTTACTAGGTGCTGAGGACCCTCCAAGCATCTCCCATGAAGTTGTGATCAGCATTGCAGCACTACCAGCAGCCCTGGGTGGTGGTGAGTCCCCTCAGCTGGCCGGGACAGTACTCTGCTGTCACCTCCCTGTTCTCTGGCTCCATCCCAGCTCCTATCAACTGGTCTCCTTGCAAACTCTCAGGGCTCCAGGACACCCACCCTTAGGAGTCCGTGCTGCCTTTAGCACTTCACTCCCCACCAGTGATGGCAACACTTGGTGTTCTTTGTCCACTTTGTCTGTTTGCTCATTTTTTTTGCTTCTGAGGAAGAGTCTCACTCTGTTTCCCAGGCTGGAGTGCAGTGGTGCCATCTCAGCTCGCTGCAACCTCCACCTCCGGGTTCAAGCGATTCTCTTGCCTCAGCCTCCTGAGTAGCTGGGATTACAGGCATGTGCAACCACACCCAGATAATTTTTGTATTTTTAGTAAAGATGGGGTTTCTCCATATTGGTCAGGCTGATCTTGAACTTCTGACCTCAGGTGATCTGCCTGCCTTGGCCTCCCAAAACGCTGAGATTACAGGCATGAGCCCCCACACCCAGCCATACCTCTCTATTTTTTTTTTTTTTTTTAATCATACAGTGTGGAAACACACACTGTAGCAAGTGCATGCCTCGGTTAGGGGCATGACTACCTGTCCCTCCTGTCCATCCAGGATATTCAAACATGTTCCCATTTTCCAGTAATCCACCCAAATCCTGTGTTATGTGCTGGTACCATCCCCTTTTACAGATGGATAAACTGAGTCACTGGATGATCCAATATGTGGTTTGAGATCACAGGCTGTGTATGTCAGTGTAGTATGGAAAGTTAAAAAACAAAGGAGGCTGGCTGCTGTGTCTTATGCCTGTAATTCCAGCACTTTGGGAGGCTGAGATGGGCAGATCACCTGAGGTCAGGAGTTGGAGACCAGCAGCCAGACCAACATGAAGAAACCCCATCTCTACTAAAAATACAAAATTAGCTGGGCGTGGTGGTGCATCCCTGTAATCCCAGCTACTTCAGAGGCTGAGGCAGGAGAATCACTTGAATCCAGGAGGCAGAGGTTGTGGGGAGCCAAGATCACGCCATTGCATTCCAGCCTGGGCAACAAGAGCGAAACTCCATCTCAACAACAGAGGGGAAAAAAAAAAAAAAAAAAGGAAAAAGATCACAGGCTGCAGTGGAAGAGCCTCAGGGAAACGCACCACCACACCCAGCTAATTTGTGTATTTTTAGTAGAGATGGGGTTTCTCCACGTTGGTCAGACTGGTCTCGAACTCCTGACTTCATGATCCGCCCACCTCGGCCTCCCAAAGTGCTGAGATTACAGACCTGAGCCCCCGTACCTGGCCATACCTGTCTATGGTGCTGTGACATCTGCCAGAGCACCCATCAGCTCCACCTAAAAGAGTTTCCTCACAGGAATTCTTAATCAAAAGACAGGAATTCTGTTTGAAATATATTTCACTCTCCAGATAGACAGTGGGTAGATAGTGTGGGTAGATAACTAAAAAGGTAGGACTCATATACAGACAGATTTCCCACTGCATTCTGCATTTGTACTTTTGCTCTCAGCTAGACTGGATCCTCAGTTATGTCTTAAGGCCACATATTCGGGAGAGTGTCCCACTGAGACCATGCTGTTCTTGGGAGGCTGAGGTCTGGTGGTTGAATCTGCTCCCTGCAGGCACCGGGCAGTAGCTGGGGCGCGGGATGGGCGTGCAGGCTGCAGTCCCTAACCGCTGCGCTCTCCTCCCTAAGGCCCCCGGCAGTCAGCATGTGGCTGCCACGCGTCTCCAGCACAGCAGTGACTGCACTCCTCCTGGCGCAGACCTTCCTCCTCCTCTTTCTGATCTCCCGGCCAGGGCCCTCACCCAGAGCGTGCGGTGAGGAGCGCGTGCACGTGCTAGTGCTGTCTTCGTGGCGCTCGGGCTCGTCCTTTGTGGGCCAGCTCTTCAGCCAGCACCCCGACGTCTTCTACCTGATGGAGCCTGCGTGGCACGTGTGGACCACCCTGTCACAGGGCAGCGCCGCAACGCTGCACATGGCCGTGCGCGACCTGGTGCGCTCTGTCTTCTTGTGTGACATGGACGTGTTTGATGCCTATCTGCCTTGGCGACGCAACCTGTCCGACCTCTTCCAGTGGGCCGTGAGCCGCGCACTGTGCTCGCCACCCGCCTGCAGCGCCTTCCCCCGAGGCGCCATCAGCAGTGAGGCGGTGTGCAAGCCACTGTGCGCGCGGAGGCCCTTCAGCCTGGCCCAGGAGGCCTGCCGCTCCTACAGCCACGTGGTGCTCAAGGAGGTGCGCTTTTTCAACCTGCAGGTGCTCTACCCGCTTCTCAGCGACCCGGCGCTCAACCTGCACATCGTGCACCTGGTGCGCGACCCGCGGGCTGTGTTGCGCTCCCGGGAGGCGGCGGCCAAGGCTCTGGCGCGTGACAATGGCATCGTGCTGGGCACCAATGGCACATGGGTGGAGGCCGACCCTGGCCTGCGCGTGGTGCGTGAGGTGTGCCGTAGCCACGTCCGCATCGCTGAGGCCGCCACACTCAAGCCGCCACCCTTCCTGCGCGGCCGCTACCGCCTGGTGCGCTTCGAGGACCTGGCGCGGGAGCCACTGGCAGAGATCCGGGCACTCTACGCCTTCACCGGCCTAAGTCTCACGCCACAGCTCGAGGCCTGGATCCACAACATCACCCACGGATCCGGACCTGGTGCGCGCCGCGAAGCCTTCAAGACTTCGTCCAGGAATGCGCTCAATGTCTCCCAGGCCTGGCGCCACACGCTGCCCTTCGCCAAGATCCGCCGCGTGCAGGAACTGTGCACTGGTGCTCTGCAGCTGCTGGGCTACCGGCCTTTGTACTCTGAGGCTGAGCAACGCGACCTTGCCCTGGATCTGGTGCTGCCACGAGGCCTGAACAGCTTCAGCTGGGCGTCGTCCACGGCCTCACACCCCCGGCATTAGTGGAGGCTACAGTTATAGAGGTCACCAGGCCTGGAGAGGGGAGTGCATTGTGCAGAGGTGGCTGGGGTGCACGGAGAAGCAGGTCCCTATATTGACCAAGGAGTTCGTGGTCCCCCCATGAAGTAGGCAAGGACTGCCTGTTTCTTTCCAGATTCTCAGTTTTTCTTTTTTCTTTTTTTTCTTTTTCTTTTTCTTTTTTTTTTTTTTTTTGAGACGGTGTTTCGCTCGTTACCCAGGCTGGAGTGGAATGGCGCGATCTCGGCTCACCGCAACCTCCGCCTCCCGGGTTCAGGCGATTCTCCTTCCTCAGCCTCCTGAGTAGCTGGGATTACAGGCATGCGCCACCATGCCCAGCTAATTTTTTGTATTTTTAGTAGAGACGGGGTTTCACCATGTTGACCAGGATGGTCTCGATCTCTTGACCTCGTGATCCACCCGCCTCAGCCTCCCAAAGTGCTGGGATTACAGGCGTGAGCCACCGCGCCCGGCGATTCTCAGTTTTTCTTTGCATCCTCTGGAGCTGCCTTCTCATCAAGTGCACTCTTCGTGGAAAGCAACTCTTGCCCCTACCTCCTCTGGGCACAGGGAGTGCGTTCAGATGACTTGGCTTCCACTCAAGTGCTTTCTTTCCCTTTAACTTTCTCCTTCTGGGGACACATCCTGCAGCAGCTGAGGGGGAGCCCTCGCACTGGCTGGGAGTGGAGAGGTAAGGTGGTGATAGGGCTGCGAAAGTCTGTACATCACATCCACAGGCACACATGCACACTTGACCAAACTCAGAAGTGAAAAGACTTGTCCAAAATCACATGGTGAGAAGGAGGATGAAGGGAGGAGCTAGCTTTTTGTCTGGGGCTCCAGTGGGGAGGAGAGAACCTGCCTCCTGGGTGAGAAGGGTCAGATTTTCCCATTTTAATTGCTTTAGGGAAGAGCAGGCAGAGTCATGGCCAGGGACACAGCTGAGAGATAGAGGAAGCTGTGAATGTGAGACCAGAGCTCATCATCCTGGACAAGCCTGGAGGGAGGCAGTAAGTGGGAAAGGTGAGAGGGGGGTGGGGAGGCCTGAGCAGCAAGCCAGGCATAGGGCATGGCAGAGCAAGAGGGGGGCCGCAGGATCAGTGCCTGGAAGGCAGGGGCGGCCGGTTGTGGGGAGTGGAACTCATCAGGCTTGCCAGGAGATTGGAAGGGAAACGGCTCTGGGCTGGATCTGTCTTCCATTGGGATTACAAGTGTGAGCCACCTTGCATGGCGGAGGAAAACTGTTTATTTTGAGATGGAGTTTTGCTCTTTCGCCCAGGCTGGAGTGAAGCCACGCTATCTCAGCTCACTGCAAACTCTGCCTCCCAGTTCAAGCGATCTCCTGCCTCAGCCTCCGCAGTAACTGGGATTATAGATGCCTTCCACCACACACGGCTAATTTTTGTGTTTTTTTAGAGACGGGGTTTCACCATGTTGGTCTTGAACTCCTGGACTCAGGTGATCCACCCGCCTTGGCCTCCCAAAGTGTTGGGATTACAAGCATGAGCCACCATGCCCTGTGAAAAAATGTATTAACACAGACAGCTGACATCACTCAGGATAAGACTCAACAAAGTTATGCCTTGGAACACTGTCTTACACAGCATTAAAAAAAAAAAAAAAAAAAAAAAAAAAAAAAAAAAACAATAAATTTGTAGAGAAATGACTGGACCAGGGATAACAGTTTTAGGCTTCCAAGGGTGGGAAATTATGGGATGGTAAATATCCAAGAGGAAGCTGTTGTAGCAGGATTTGTCTGCAGTGCCTCTGGAACTGCCTCTGGCTAGGCAGAGTTGAGAGTTGTCTCCAGGCAAGGAGAATTTATATCGTGCCTTTAGGCAGAAGAAGGGAGGGAAACCTGACCTTTTTCTGTACCTTCTGCTTGTTAATTGCCTTCAGCTGAAAATCATTTGTATGTGAAAGAGGCATAATCTGGATCACCCCTTCTGCTTTCTTCCACCTGAAGAGAACGTGCATGCTGCTCCTTTGCTTCAGACCTCTTCCTCCACCACAGAGAAAGCCCAGGCCAGCCTGCCAGACAAGCAGGGACCATGAGAAGGAGAGTTCAGGTGTCCGAAGCCTAGACCAGCCAGCCCCTCACCAGCCCCAGCTGATCAGCACGTGGCCACTTCTGTTACCTTCTACTAGCCAAAGCAAGTCCAGGGCTCACCCAGATTCAGAGGACGGGAAACAGTATGCCGCTTGGGAGAAGTAGCTATAGAGACACACATGAACAAGATCAGCTGAGTCCAGCACTGCCGGCCAAGTCAAAGACTTTAGGAGCAATAAAAGTGCTTATGATGTTTCAATCATTTGAGTGTTGGGGTGGTTTGTTATGTAGCATTGCCTGACCGATACAGTTGAAAACAGAGAGCTCTGGGCACCTGTAGCTTCCAACTTTCCATCAGGTTCCAGTCTGTGCCTCCCTGCTGGTAGGGCTGGAATTAGTCTCTTCTTACCTGTAGGCCCTGTGAGGCAGCTGGAAGTGTCTAGGCCCAGCAGTCACCCGCAATTAGGGGCAGGCATGCTTGTTGCCTCTGCTGTGGGTGTGAGAGCTCAGGAGGGGGCAATCGAAGCCCGAGGTGGGCTGATGGGTGCACAGGAACAGTGTTGCCTGGAATAGGTCAGAGAACCCACCGAGATCACACCACTGCACTCCAGCTTGGGCAACAGAGCGAGACTCTGTCTCAAACAAACAGAAAATAGTCCGGGCGCGGTGGCTCAAGTCTGTAATCCCAGCACTTTGGGAGGCCGAGGCGGGTGGATCACGAGGTCGAGAGATCGAGACCATCCTGGTCAACATGGTGAAACCCCGTCTCTACTAAAAATACAAAAAATTAGCTGGGCATGGTGGCTCGTGCCTGTAATCCCAGCTACTCAGGAGGCTGAGGCAGGAGAATTGCCTGAACCCAGGAGGCGGAGGTTGCGGTGAGCCGAGATCATGCCATTGCACTCCAGCCTGGGTAACAAGAGCAAAACTCCATCTCAAAAAAAAAAAAAAAAAAAAAAAAAAAAAAAAAAAACAGAAAATAAAAGAACCAGAGCTAAAGTCTTGATGAAAAGGATTGGGCAACTATATATTTTTCCAAGATGGCAATTCATACCAGCCAATCGAGCATTTTCTCCCTAGTGGGTAAGACCAGAAAACCTACAAATCTTGTGTTATTCTGATCCCAGTCCTCAAGAACTCCACTCATTCATTCAACACACATTATGGGTTGAGCACCAACCAGACACTGGGCTGTTGTAGGAGCTGGAGATAGAGCAAGGACCAAGACAAACAACAAGCAAAAACCCCAGCCCTAGGCTGGGTGCAGTGGCTCATGCCTATAATCCCAGTACTTTGGGAGGCTAAGGCAGGTGGATCACCTGAGATCTGGAGTTCAAGACCCTGGGCAACATGGTGAAACCCTGTCTCTACTAAAAATACAAAAGTTAGCTGGGTGTGGTGCCACATGCCTGTAATCCCAGCTGATACTCAGGAAGCTGAGGCAAGAGAATTGCTTGAAACTGGGAGGTGGTGGTTGCAGTGAGCTGAGATGGCACCACTGCACTCCAGCCTGGGCAACAGAGCAATACTCCATCTCACACAAAAAAAACCCCTGCCCTCTGGGAACTTGCATTCTGATGGTGGGGAGAGAGCTAATGAATGATAAGTGTCATAAATGACTACATTATTTTGCGTATTAGAGAGTGCCAAGGATTAAAGTGAAGAAGGTTCTGGGGATTAGGAATGTATGTGGGTGGGGGTGTGAGTTGTAATTTTTTTTTTTTTTTTTTTTTTTTTGAGACAGACTCTTGTTATGTCGCCAGGCTGGAGTGCAGTGGCATGATCTTGGCTCACTGCAATCTCAGCCTCCTGGGTTCAAGTAATCCCCTGCCTCAGCCTCCAGAGTAGCTGGGACCACAGGCGTGCACCCCCCCACACAGGTAATTTTTGTATTTTTAGTAGAGACGAGGTTTCACCATGTTGGCCAGGATGGTCTCGATCTCTTGACCTTGTGATCCGCCTGCTTCGGCCTCCCAAAGTGCTGGGATTACAGGCTTAAGCCACTGCATGGTGTGAGTTATGATTTTTAATGGGGTGATCAGGGTAGGTCTTGGTGAGAAAGTGACATTTGAGGCCGGGCACGGTGGCTCACGCCTGTAATCCCAGCACTTTGGGAGGCTGAGGCGGGTGGATCACGAGGTCAAGAGATCGAGACCATCCTGGTCAACATGGTGAAACCCCGTCTCTACTAAAAATACAAAAATTAGCTGGGCATGGTGGCGCATGCCTGTAATCCCAGCTACTCAGGAGGCTGAGGCAGGAGAATTGCCTGAACCCAGGAGGCGGAGGTTGTGGTGAGCCGAGATCGCGCCATTGCACTCCAGCCTGGGTAACAAGAGTGAAAGTCCGTCTCAAAAAAAAAAAAAAAAGAAAGTGACATTCGAGCAAAGTCTTAAAGGAGGTGAGAGAGTATGTCAAGGGCAATAATGGGTAGCCTATCTGGGAAGAGGAAAGAGTTAACACAAAAGCCCTAAGGACGGGAGGCATCTGGCTTGTTGGAAGAACAGCAAGGGGCCAGGAGGTCTGATGTGATGGCCCCAAGACGGAGTGCCGGGAGATGAGGTCAGCAGGTATGGGGAGGGGTCAGGTCACAGAGGGCCTTGGAGGCCTTCAGGAGGACCTCGGCTTTACTTGGTGTTAAACGGAGGGCGTCCAAGGCCACTCTTGTTCTATTATGTCCCATGGGTGAATAAATAAACATAGATATAAATATGTCATATACATGTGTAATATGTCAGGTACCAAAAATAATAGGATAAGTACCCAGTTAAATCCATATTTTGTTATAATTTCACTGCATGTGTTAATATCCTGAATAAGTATAGTGTTGCTTTTGCAAGTATCTGAGTTTGGTTTAACTGAATCACACTGTGGTCTTCTGCAACTTAGGTCTCCCCTTCAAGTTTGTGGAATTTTTTTTTTTTTTTTTTTGAGATGGAGTCTCACTCTGTCACCAGATTGGAATGCAGTGGTAAGATCTCCACTCACGGCAACCTCTGCCTCCTAGGTTCAAGCAATTCTCCTGCTTGAACCTAGCTAGCTTGAACCTCCTAGCTTGAACCTACCTCCTGAGTAGCTAGGATTATAGGTGCGTGTTACCATGCCTGGCTGATTTTTGTATTTTTAGTAGAGACGGGGTTTCACCATGTTGGCCAGGCTGGTCTTGAACTCCTGACCTTGTGATCCCCCTGCCTCAGCCTCCCACAGTGCTGGAATTACAGGACTGAGCCACTGTGCCCGGCTGGGTTTTTTGTTTGTTTGTTTGTTTGACACAGAGTCTTGCTCTGTTACCCAGACTGCAGTGCAGTGGTGCAATCTTGGCTCACTGCAGTCTTGAACCTCCTGGGTTCAAGCGATCCTTGTGCCTCAGCCTCCCAAGTAGTTGAGATTACAGGTGTGCGCCACCACGCCCAGATAACTTTTTGTATTTTTAGTAGAGACCGGGTTTCACCACGTTGGCCAGGCTAGTCTCGAACTCCTGACCTCAATGATCCACCCACCTCAGCCTCCCATAGTGGTAGCATTACAGGTGTGACCCCCCTCCGCCTGGCCTCTCCCTCAACTTTGTATTTCTGGGATTCATCGTGTTGCTCTTCAGTATTACATCATTTATTTTCACTACTTTAAAGGAATTTATTGGAAATCATACCACAATTTTATTTATCCTCCCAAAGTTCTGGGATACACGTGTGAGCCACCGCACCCAGCCAAAATACTGGCTTCCTTCTTAACCTGCTCATTAAAATGTTGAACCATTTTGTCTACAGCTTGAAGGCAATTCCCTTACTCTTCCTGAGGACACCTTTTCTGTTTTAATCTGGACAGATGGCTTCTAGCACTGTTGCACAGAAGTCAGTCTAACACTCCTGGTTAAGTCCACCATTTCTTGCATTGCACATGTTTCTCTCTCTTGGTTAACGCTCTTTAACTTTGCTGGACCGCATCCTCAGCTTCCTTAGAAAGGGCCCATCAATGTGCAGCCAATTAAGCCGACCGAGTTCCTTTCCCTGTGGCGGCCCACTGCAATGGCTGCAAACAGCATCTTCTGTGGTAGTGTAATGCAGAGTGTTTCTTGTATAGGTTGCTCTAAGGGATCTTGGAGACAGGCCTTTCAGATGTACATTCGTGTCTCTGACCTTGCACTTGCCCAGTGTAGGCTCTGAACAGGCATGCGAGGTGCCTTTGGAAAGCCCCAGGGCCGTGTGTTTGGAGTTCACACTGGCCAACTTACCAGGTCCATCCCCATCAAGCTGCAGAACAAGGAGCATGTGATGGAGCCCTGCGCGGGTTCATGTTCCCTGGCCACCAGAAGATCCACACCTCAAAGAAGGGAGGCCTCACCAAGTTCAATGCTGATGAATTTGAAGACATGGTAGCTGAGAAGTGGCTTATCCCGATGGCTGTGGGGTTAAGTACATCCCTAGTCGTGGCCCTCTGGACAAGTGGTGGGACCTGCACTCATGAGGGCTTCCACTGTGCTGCCTCCTCTTAATATGAATCAATAAATCCTACTTCCTGACCAAAAAAAAAAAAAAAAAAAAAGAGAGAGAGAAAGAAAAAAAGGGCCCATGAAACCTACATGTTCTGAGCCTGGCAAGACTAAATGTCTTTTTTAAACCTGTCAGCGGCCAGGCATGGGGGCTCAGGCCTGTAATCCCAGCACTTTGGGACGAAGTGGGTGGATCACAAGGTCAGGAGTTCAAGACCAGCCTGGCCGAGATGGTGAAACCCCATCTCTACAAAAAATACAAACATTACCTGGGTGTGGTGGTGGGTGCCTGCAATCCCAGATACTTGGGAGGCTGAGGCAGAGAACTGCTTGAACCCAGGTGGCAGAGGCTGCAGTGAGTTGAGATTGCACCATTGCACTCCAGCCTGGGCGAAAGAGGAAGACTCTGACTCAAAAACAAAAAAAACCTGTCAATTCATAATTGGACTGAAGATAGAATTATAAATTCAAAATAATGTTTCCTAATGTAATACATAATTGATTATGTAACCCTACAATAATTGGTTTCTTCCACTTCTAATAGACACTGCTACTCTGGGAAATGTACCAAAAAGACAGCATGGTTAAAGGTCAGTATTTCATGACCCTTTTTATACTTTCTATTTTTATTTTAGATAGGTTTCTTGGTTGATGCAAAAAGTGAATTGCGGTGGTGGGGAACTGGCATGGGGAAGCTTCCAAAACAGAGGCTTCAGGAGAGAATTCTACTTTTTCTTTTTTTTTTTTTCTTTTTTTTTTTTTCAGATAGAATCTGACTCTGTCACTGAGGCTGGAGTGCCATGGTGCGATCTTGGCTCACCGCAACTTCTGCCTCCTGGGTTCAAGCGATTCTCCTGCCTCAGCCTCTTGAGTAGCCGGGATTACAGACACCTGCCACCACACCTGGCTAATTTTTGTATTTTTAGTAGAGATGGGGTTTCACCATGTTGGCCAGGTTGGTCTCGAACTCTTGACCTGGTGATCTGCCAACCTTGGCCTCCTAAAGTGCTGGGATTACAGATGTGAGCCACCATGCTCAGTGAGATTTCTTCTAACTTTTTCTTCTTATTCTATTTATTTCTTCTTGTTCTATTTATTTCACTTTTTCTTTCGTTCTTTGTTATGATTAATTTGGTAGAGCAACACCATTTATTTCCAGGGCCAACCTTGGATGTAGTATAATTATGGAAAAAGGCTGTCAGCACTAATCACCGTCACGTACCAAAAAAAAATCCTACAGAATCTGAAATGCCAACAAGAAGTCTAGATCCACTGGGAAATATCTGTAAATTACAGATCTTTCCATTTCTACTGGCATGACAAAAACTTTCAGCTTCAATGATTTACTCAATTCCTGAGCCATCTTTAAAGTCTTGTGCATTTATTGTTTGTTTTTTGAAACAGGGCCTTGTTCTGTTGCCCAGGCTGGAGTACAGTGGAGCAATGATAGCTCACTGCAGCCTTGACCTGCCAGGCTCAGGAGATCCTCCTACCTCAGCCTCTGAAATTAGCTGGGACTACAGGTGTACCCCACTACACCTGACTAATTTTTAAATTTTTAGTAGAGAGAAGGTCCTGTGTTGCCCAGGCTGGTCTCAAACTCCTGGGTTCAAGCAGTCCTCCAGCCTTGGCCTCCCACAGTGTTGGCGTTACAGGCATGAGCCACTTCGCTTGGTGGACTGGTCAATTTGTCACTTTTTAAAAAGGTTTTAAAAGTTATGATTTATGTAGCATCAAATTCATTTATTTTAGCTCTACAATTCAATGATTTTTAAAGAAGCTTTCAGGCTGGGTGCAATGGCTCTCACCTGTAATCCCAGTGCTTTGGGAGGCCAAGGCAGGTGGATCACCTGAGATAAGGAGTTTGAGACCAACCTGACCAACGTGGTGAAACCCCATCTCTACTAAAAATACAAAAATTAGCTGGGCGTGGCACTGTGCACCTGTAATCCCAGCTATTTGGGAGGCTGGGGGAGGAGAATCACTTGAACCCAGGAGCGGAGGTTGTGGTGAGCCGAGAGCGCACCATTGCACTCCAGCCTGGGTGACAGAGCAAGTCTCCCTCTCAAAACAAACAAACAAACAAAACTATTCATCAGCCCGGTGTGGTGGCTCACGCCTGTAATCCTCACACTTTGGGAAGCCAAGGTGAGGGATCACTTGAGGTCAGGAGCTCGAGATCAACCTGGATAGCACAGCAAAACCCTGTCTCTACTAAAAATACAAAAATTAGAGCCAGGCACGGTGGCTCAAGCCTGTAATCCCAGCACTTTGGGAGGCCGAGGCGGGTGGATCACGAGGTCGAAAGATAGAGACCATCCTGGTCAACATGGTGAAACCCCGTCTCTACTAAAAATACAAAAAATTAGCTGGGCATGGTGGTGCGTGCCTGTAATCCCAGCTACTCAGGAGGCTGAGGCAGGAGAATTGCCTGAACCCAGGAGGCGGAGGTTGCGGTGAGCCGAGATCGCGCCATTGCACTCCAGCCTGGGTAACAAGAGCGAAACTCCGTCTCAAAAAAAAAAAAATACAAAAATACAAAAATTAGCCTGACCTGGTGGCAAGCCCCTGTAATCCCAGCTACTCGGGAGGCTGAAGCAGGAGAATCACTTGAACCTGGGAGGCGGAGGTTGCAGTGAGCCAAGATCCCACCACTGCACTCCAGCCTGGGCGACAGAGTGAGACTCCACCTCAAAACAAAACAACCAAAAGACAAAAATATATTATTATTTGTCAAAAGCCTCTTCATCACCTGGAACCTTGTGGACACCACTTATCCTTGGTACTTTCCCTTCCAGAACACTATTGCTATTGGCTGCTACGGTCTGAATGTGTTCTGCCAAATTCATGTGCTGAAACTTCATGGGAATGTGATAGCACTGAGAGGACAGGCCTTTAGGAGATGATTACGTCAGAAGAGTGGAGCCCCCACTGTGGGATTAGGCCCCTTATAAAAGGGCTTCAGAGAGTGGGTTCACTTTGTTACCATGTGAGGACCACCTGGGCGGTGCTGTCTGACAGGAACACGCCCTCCTCAGACACGGAATCTGCTGCGACCTTGATCTTGGACCTCCCAGCTTCCAGCACCGTGAGAAAATAAATTTCTGTTCTTAATAAATTGCCCAGTCTCAGGTACTTCGTTACAGCAGTGCAAACACACTGAACATTAGCTTATCCCTTTTGACGATTTCTCTGCCTTCATTGTAACAGGATCTCTGAGGGGAGGTGAGACAAAAATGTATGATCCAGTTTTGTTGCACTGAACTGAAGCTCTTTGAATTTTATTTAAAATTAAGTCCAGCTGTATAGAGGCTATGTGGCCTCCCTCCCATCCTGGTCCTACACCAGCCTTTCTTCGCATGAGCTCTTTATACTATCAGCATTTTTTTTTTTTTTTTTTTTTTTTTAGACTGAGTTTCCTCCTGTTGCCCAGGCCGGAGTGCAATGGCCCAATCTCAGCTCACCGCAACCTCCATTTCCTAGGTTCAGGTGATTCTCCTGCCTCAGCCTCCTGAGTAGCTGGGATTACAGGCATGCACCACCACGATTCGCTAATTTTGTACTTTTATTAGAGACAGGGTTTCTCCATTTGGTTAGACTGGTCTCAAACTCCTGACCTCAGGTGATCTGTCCGCCTCGGCCTCCCAAAATGCTGGGATTACCGGCATGAGCCACCTTGCCCGGTCTATACTATCAGCTTTAAATAGAGAATTTTCTTGTTCTGTTCATGAAGGTTTTATAAATGCTGGAGTCCAGTCATAAGTAGAAATTTACATATGCGTTCCATCACTGTACTTTGGAATTCCAGATACCCGGTAAATCCACAGCTCAGGTCTTGTGCGGCGCAAGCAATTCCCGACTTTCTCACAGGGGGGCGCCGCAGAGAAGGGCAGAGCAGAGCGCGCGGTCCCAGAGCGTGCCTTCCAGGAGGGGGCACGTCCATAGGGCTGGGTCGAGGCGAGCCGTGCGCAACGTCGGGGGCGGGAACAACCCTGGCCCTCCCCCGCGCGCTGCGGCGCCTTGTGATTGGAGGAGACAACGGTCACTGGGCAGCGCCGTTGGGATTAAGGGAAGAGGGCCGGGCTGGAGGTGACGCTGAGGCGGCCAGGGTGCGGAGGACTGGCCGCTGCTGGAGTTTGGTTGTTCGTCCCTCGTCCCTGTGTGGTGAATGGCGACGAGATGGAGCGCGAGGGGAGCGGCGGGTCTGCCGGGCTCCTGCAGCAGATCCTGAGCCTAAAGCTTGTGCCGCGTGTGGGCAACGGGACCCTGTGCCCCAACTCTACTTCTCTCTGCTCCTTCCCAGGTACGGCCCGCCCCGCGCCTGCGCACTGCGCGCCCCGCCGCCGCTTCGGCGGGGCTGTGGGCGTCCAGTCTGGGCGGGGTCCCCTGTGAGCCGCCGACCGGCGGGGTGGGCGCCGTGCTCCTGGAAAGGGGGTGTCCCGCTGCTCGCCCGGAGCCCCGTTTCCCTGTCGCTTCCTCCCTGGCCCCCGAGCCCCGCTGGCCGTGAGGTTCGGGGAGCGGCCGCAGGTGGGCCCGGGGCTGGAGGTCGCTCGGCCGCCACCCAGCGGGTCTTGGCCTTTGGAGCTTCGGAGCACCCCGGGTTCAGACCTGCACCCCACGAGCCCGGGAGGCGGTGGTCCCCGCCCCGTCTGGGTTGCCCCACGGCACCCGCCTCCTTCGAGGGGCCTCGGAGCGGCCCGGCAGACTGAGGGGTCAGAGCTCGCGTTTTCCTTGCCCGAGGTCTGCAGCCTGGCCTCTCCGCAATCGCGGGCGCCTCGGGCTAAATCCATCCTCTCCGAGACCCGCTCGGCTTTCCAGGAATCTCCTTCCGAGACCTGGTGCCACCTGTTGCCGCGTTCCCACTAAGCCTTCCAGATCTTTGGCACAGCTTCCTTTGAACTCTTCCTGCCCCCTGCAGCATGAGCTGGGCCTGCTAGGAGGGTTGCTCAGAGTTCCGGTGCCAGGAAGAACTGCCCGTGCTCGGAAAGCTGGAGGAAGGAGCGAGGACTCCACCTGGGAAGGCGGAGAAAGGCTTTGAGGGGAGGCACAGTTATTTGTGTGGACCTTGAAAGGCAAGAAGACTGGGGCCTGTGTTTCTGAAAGGGGAGGTGGGGCTTCCAGCAGAGGGGACTGAGATCTTCATAAACAACGGGGGCGCAGAGCCGAGGGAAGGGGGACGGGATTCCAGACTCTAGTCGCAAACAAGGCACCTGTGATTTCTCCTCCCCTGGGCAGCGACTGGCAGGCGCCGTTCAGCGGACACCTGGGACTTGCAGTGTGATTATGTGCCCAGGGTTTTTCCTGGTGGGGACTGTGAAGTAGCTGGTAAGGTAATGAGGCAGACTGGTGTCAGATGCAGATGTTAGCTTGTGGTCATGCCTGAAAAGAGAATCTGGGAGCTCACTTTATTTCAGAACGTGCTAGGATCGCTTTTGACAGTGCTATCAAAAAATCGATGGTATTCTGGGGACCCTATGTGAAAAATGAAATGTTCGTTCGATCTGGAGGCACTGCTGGGACCAGATTAATCTGTTTTTGTTTCCTTAATTTTTCCCCTTTCCTGGAAAATTGTAAGCCTGCGGAAAAATTGAGCGAACAGGACAAGTAGCCATGTGCTTTTCACTTAGATTTGGTTATATTTTGATTCTTTGGTGCGCGCGCGGGTGCGCTCTCTCTCTCTCTCTTTATATATATATATATATATATATACATATATATATATATAATCACATGTATCATATATACATATGTCACTTACATATGTGTCATATATCCCTTTTTACCTCTGGAGTCATTCAGTACAAAGTTGCAGAGATCATGTAATACATCTTAGCATGTATCGTCTAGAAAACATTTTCTGTAATAACCACAAAACCATATAATATCCAAGAAATTTAACATGATAGAATATCGTTATCTAATGTATGGGCCTTGTTTAAATTTCCTCAATTGTCCACATATGTTATGTGGATATTTTTATGTGGAATATAGTTTATGTGGATTTTTTTTTTTTAATTCCATGATATAAGGTTCACACATTGCATTAAGTTGTCCAGTCTCTTTAGTTTCATTTAACTAGAACAGTTCCTTCCTTGTTTGAATTTCTTTCTTTTTTTTTTTTTTTTTGAGACGGAGTTTCGCTCTTGTTACTCAGGCTGGAGTGCAATGGCGCGATCTCGGCTCACCGCAACCTCCGCCTCCTGGGCTCAGGCAATTCTCCTCCCTCAGCCTCCTGAGTAGCTGGGATTACAGGCACGTGCCACCATGCCCAGCTAATTTTTTTTGTATTTTTAGTAGAGACGGGGTTTCACCATGTTGACCAGGATGGTCTCAATCTCTTGACCTCGTGATCCACCCGCCTCGGCCTCCCAAAGTGCTGGGATTACAGGCTTGAGCCACCGTGCCCAGCTTGAATTTCTTAAGATGGACTTTTTAGAAGAGTTCATGTGAATTGTTTTATAGACTGTTTTACAATCTAGGTTCATTAGATTTTCTTCATGATTAGATTTGGATTAAACATTTTTGGTCAGAATGCTATCTACCTAGGTGATGTGCACTTACCAGTACATCACATTAAGAGACATTGAATGTCAGCCCAGCAAGGTGACTCACACCTGTAATCCCAGCACTTTGGGAGACTGAGGCAGGCGGATCACCTGAGGTAAGGAGTTCAAGACCAGCCTGGCCAACATAGCGAAACCTTGTCTCTACTAAAAATACAAAAATTAGGTGTAGTGGTGTGTGCCCTGTAATCCCAGCTACACGGGATGCTGAGACACGAGAATCTCTTGAACTCAGGAGTCAGAGGTTGCAGTGAGCCAAGATTGTGCCACCGTCCAGCCTGGGTGACAGAGTGAGACTCCATCTAAAAAAAAAACAAAAAGAATCATTGAATGTCAGTTTGTATCTTCGTTGATACTACTAAGTTTTCTCATTTGGTGAAGATGGTGTCTATCAGAACTCTGTACTATAAAGGTACCTGCATCCTCTCTTAATTAAACGTCATAGTTAGGGTCATAAGTAGAAACTGAATAGTCTGTTGAGTCTTTCTGGCTTTTACTTCCCTTTCATTAAGAAAAGATGAGAGCCGGGCGCGGTGGCTCACGCCTGTAATCCCAGCACTTTGGGAGGCCGAGGCAGGTGGATCACGAGGTCAAGAGATTGAGACCATCCTGGTCAACATGGTGAAACCCCGTCTCTACTAAAAATACAAAAAATTAGCTGGGCATGGTGGCACGTGCCTGTAATCCCAGCTACTCAGGAGGCTGAGGCAGGAGAATTGCCTGAACCCAGGAGGTGGAGGTTGCGGTGAGTCGAGATCCCGCCATTGCACTCCAGCCTGGGTAAGGAGAGCGAAACTCCGTCTCAAAAAAAAAAAAAAAGAAAAGAAAAAAGAAAAAAAGAAAAGATTGAGATAAGTGGATTTGGGATGGGTTTAATACATCACAGTAGATAATTTGCAGCCATGCGAATTGTTTTACCTTCAGAGTTTTTTTTCTGAAAATCTTAAACTTCAATATAGTACTTGAGTTTATGATTATTGTTATGGTTATGTAACTTGGAGTACTGATTACCAGAGATCGTTTATTCAGTAAGCATACATTTGGCCAAGTGTAGGCTCTGGTCTGCGGGTATGAGCAGGTGTGAGGCCTAGCCCTTTACCCCAACTAGGTCAGAATTTGTCAGTAAACATATAACCTCCCTGCTGTGTCTCATCTTTAGCAGGAATGATGGGCATAATAAATGTATGAAGTTATATCCTATTTGAGACAGCAAAGTCTGTTGAACAGAAATTGCATTCATTGTCCTGAATCTGGTGTATTTGTATTTTGGCCCCATAGAAAAGGTTACTTGCAGTTTATGCCAACTCATTATGGCAGAATCATTGTTGTGAAGTATTCTGACATATTTATGTGTACCAGGAAGCACTGAATTGATTTTTTTCTCTTTTGTTTTTTTCTTTTTCTGAGACAGAGTCTCGCTCCTGTTTCCCAGGCTGGAGTGCAATGGCATGATCTCCGCTCAGTGCAACCTTCACCTTCTGGGTTCAAGCGATTCTCCTGCCTCAGACTTCCAAGTAGCTGGGGTTACAGGCATGCACAACCATGCCTGGCTAATTCTGTGTTTTTAGTAGAGATGAGGTTTCTCCATGTTGGTCAGGCTGGTCTTGAACTGCTGACCTCAGGTGATCCGCCTGCCTCAGCCTCGCAAAGTGCTGGGATTACAGGCGTGAGCCACCACACCCAGCCAATTTTTTTCTTTTTTACCTGTGTTTGGAGTTCAGCCATTTACCTAAGGAGGGTTAGGTAAACATCTAAACGACGTTTGCAGTGGCTCGCACCTATAATCCCACCACTTGGGGTGGCCGAAATGGGTGGATCACCTGAAGTCAGGAGTTCGAGACCAGCCTGGCTACCGTGGTGAAACCCCATCTCTACTAAAAATACAAAAAATTGCCAGGCATGGTGGTACATGCCTATAATTCCAGGTACTAGGGAGGCTGAGGCAGGAGAATCGCTTGAACCCAGGAGTGGGAGGTTGCAGTGAGCCGGCATTGTGCCACTGCACTCCCACCAGGGCCACAGAGTGAGACTCTTTCTCAAAATAAATACATATAAATAAATGACTAAACTGCAAATGCAGGTTAACAAAATTTCCTTTATTGTCATTTTTAACAAATCTCAAAACGAAGAAACTGACATCTTTGTCTTGTATCAGGAATGACATTGATCTTCTGAAGATACAGATTTCATTTCACTAAATCAGTATCAAATTAGATCTTGTGATAATTAGAAACCCAGTAATATCTTTGTGTTGTCCTTGTTGAAATCAAGACTGGTCGTACTTGGACCATCATTTATTCATTCACTCAAAAAATATTTGCTCTGTGTTGATTGTGTACCTGTTGTTTTCTAGGAACCAAGTCAAAATTTTGTTAGTAACAAAACAAAGCCCCTTCCCACATGGAACTTTCATTCCAATGGGGAGAGAGAGATAACAAACAAAACAGCTGGTGGTGAGGGGCCTGGGAATTGGCAGGGCCTGTGTGGTGCAGGAGTAGGATGCTGTTTGCTGTAAGGTGATGGGGAGGCCCTGGATGGTGATGACATTGGAGTCAAAATCTGAAGGAAGTGAGGAATGAACCAACAGTTATTATGGGAAGAGCAGGTGTTCTAGGCCAGGGAGCAGCAGATTCAGAGGGCCTGGAGCAAGAGCCTGCAGAGGAAACACTGAGGAAGTCAGGGTACCTGGAGGGACTACGTGGGCAAAGCAGAAAGGAGGAGAGGAGGGTGGATCCTGGAGGGCTCTTCTGGGGGGTTTTGAGCAGAGATGGGATGATTCTGACTTTTTAAGTGTACAATCCAGTGGTTTTTAGTATATTTACAGAGTAATACAACCATTACCACAATTAATTTGAGAATATTTGCATCATCCTGAGAATAAACCTTCTTTGTACAAAGAAGAAACTTTGAAGAAACCTACTGGCTTTGCCTGGAGAATAAATGAAAGACCCCATCAGATCAGAGAAGGTCTGGTCAGGCTAGGACCCAAAGACCACTGGGGTGAGGTGGGCCAGGGGCACCTCCAAGAATCAAGGAGGAGCAGGAAGGCAGTATCCAGAGAGAGGTGGTCGATTACAGTTGGTAGTTCAGTGGGCACGTCATCTTGTTAGGGAGGAGTGGAGGAGACAGTTGGACCTCCAGGCAGGGTGGTGAGCTTTGTTAAGAGAGGAGTCTCCCAGTGGACAGCGTGCAGGGCTGCAGGCTGATGGGCGATTAGTATCAAGGCAGCCCAGCTTCAGCATAGAGTTGCAGGACTACAGAAAACTTTTTTTTTTTTTTGAGATGGAGTCTTGCTCTGTTGCCCAGGCTGGTGTGCAGTGGTGCAGTTTTGGCACACTGCAACCTCTTCCTCTCAGGTTCAAGCAATTCTCCTACCTCAGCATCCCGAGTAAGCTGGGATTACAGGCAGGTGACATCATTCCTGGCTAATTTTTGTACTTTTTTTTTTTTTTTGAGACAGAGTTTCGCTCTTGTTACCCCAGGCCGGAGTGCAATGGCGTGATCTCGGC